GGGGGGGGGGGGGGGGGGGGGAGAATTAAAAACCCAAGTTCATTTGCACAGTGTAACACTCGAAATATCCCTGACATGAGTAATCTGTTAGACAACCCATAAGTGAAATCCTTGTTTATTATTTTTACGCTATTTTGGGGTGGTCCGTGCAGGGGGTCCATAGGCGTAGTCCATGGACCGGTCTGTAGGGTAGTCCACCGACCTGGTCTGTAGTGGGGGTCTGTGGACAGGGGGTCAGTGTTTTCTGGGTTACTCTTTTCTCTGGGATGCTATAATTATAACGACCGTGCATGTACAGCTGCACACTGTATGATTACTCAGGCAAAACAGTTTTTAAAAATCTGTCACTGATAATTATGATGTACATTTTACTTTGAATGCAACTTGTCAGCTACACGTGCATGTACAACTTATATACATGTTCATCTTGTCTCATGAATGTGACTCTAACAGCTTTGTGCAGTGTGTTAACTTTACAATATTGTGCAAAGGATAATTATACATGTATATCTTTAGTTAATTGTTGTGTTCTAAACCTTTCCACTACAACTGTTGTAGAAAGTACATGTCATGTTCAAGTAGAACTCTCTGTCTCTAAATTAGACATTCTAATATTCACCAATATACACAAATTGAAACTTGCACCATGTACATTCTATTCTTAATGTGCATGCTTTTAGGAGACAATGTAATACAAGTATGTTTCTAATGTTTAATTTATTACTGTCCTGTAGGTCAATTATTGGCCAGGATTTTGCAGGATTCAACGATAATCTTCTTGCACTGGTCTATGCCATGCCATTTGTAAGTAAATAGATTTAGTGATAGTTATATGTCAAATCAACATAGGGGGTGGGTGGCAGGTTGCAGGTCGTGGGTTGCAGATTGCAGGTCATAGGTTATGGGTTGTGTAAAATACTTTTAGGAAACAAGGAAAAGGCAATAAGGGCTACATGTGAAGGCGTATTGAGTACAGTTAGGAGGAGGTCAGTGGTATTTGTAGCTTATTAAAGCAATAACAGCTACATGTACAAAGTAAAGAGTAGGGTCTGATTCAAGAGCAGTTAGACAACTTGTTATAATTGTTGTACTGTAGCTAAGTAGAAATTTGCTTATTTATTTAATAATTAGTAATGTTTTCAATTTGTGTTAAGTTAAAGCCTGTGACAAGTTACAACCAAATTACCTGCAAGAACTGATATATACAGCTGTACATGTCTCTTGCTGATGAGTCAAATGAGTGGTCCTTGGATAATTGTTAGCAATTTTGCATATAGCTCTGAGCTTATAAACTTTCAAAGATCCTTTAATGAAATATTTTTCCATGTTTGTTCATTGCATTTTATAACAATTAATTACTTGATATTGTTGGAACCTTAAGATGCAATCAAGGTATTGACATATATTTGTTAATTTACATGTATTGTATGAGTAACAAGTTTTTGACAATCAAATTATATTATTAACATAAACTTTTATTTTGATAGATATCAGTAGTAAACCAGCTTCTCAAGGTCAGTAAGTTTAAAGTGGATGCCTCACCATCGTTGTCTTTTTATATGTTTTGTTTGATATTTTTGATGTTTGTGTATTGATCATTCAAAAATAAATCATTTTGTAATGTACCATGCCACAGAAAATGCAACCAATCAGAATACAGGAAAGCCATAATTTACTTGATTGTATTATATCCAACTTTCCCATCGTGTGCTGCATATTTGACTGTGTTGGCCAATGTATTTTTTATGGCTTGGTATAAAATAGTTATGCAACACTTCCTCATGGTAATTACCATGGGAATATCCCACTTGTATTTTCTTATTCCATGCTCACTAAATTGATTAGAGGTATTAAAATGCATTCACTTGAAACGAAGTGATGATGATGGTTTCAACTAAACGGCAATAGGTTATGAGTGATGTGGTTAAAAGTCACCTGAAACTCAAAACAGAATATGGCTATCGACTGACAGGGTTGATTGAAACTAGTATAAATAATGGTAGCTGCGCCAGTAAACGTGTGTTGAAAGTAGATGCAAATGAGGTTTTTTCTTATATCATGAATATGTATCATTATTAAGCTTTATCCTTAAAATTTGTAGACCATGTGCTTACTATCTCTATGTTATCATTTTTTTTAATGTGGCTATACATGTATCATTTTTAGTTTGGATTGAATGAACTGAAGCTGAGGTTCCGTACAAGATTAACTCTTCATCTGTATGAACAGTACCTGAGGTATAATAGTAATTAATAATATTATTATGATAATGCTATTTCCAAGTGTAAATTATGGTAAAATTTAACTTCTTGCATTAACTGTCCATTGTACTTACTAACAGGGCGAAATTGGCACTCAATAAAAGTCATATGTTGACTAAATATTTTAGTACATGTCGTTAGTTCAGTTTCTCTGAAATTAGTGATTCATTAACCGTCTACTTAGAGACTTTTTAAAACTCCTTTGTTACTCATTTGATGGCATATTATTTCATACATGTAGGGTGGTCTAATTTAATGAGCACAGTTATTCTTATGGTAACTTTACATATTTTTCCTGTTTTTCATGTTGTGTTTGGATATAATTATTTTTTACTTGTATTTTTAGCATGTTCACATTTTACAAAATGAGCAACTTGGATAACAGGATTGCTAATGCAGATCAACTCCTTACTCAGGTCTGAATTAATTACATTGTATGTTGAAGCACGCTTTATACCTTATTACATGAAATTTTTGCAATACGTTTATTTCGTGATTTTGAGGTGTGCATATTTTGCGACACTTAAATTCCGCAATTTTGCGAAAATTTTGTATTTTGAATCACTTTAACTTCACATTTTTGAGTAACACACAATTTATTTCTTTGGCAATGTTATTTCAACATGTCCTTGAATTCTTCTTCTTCTTTTTTTTGTATACAGTGAAGGTACAAGTATGACTTTAATGTTTTAAAAATGTTGATTGACATTGAATAACTGATATGAGTTTTTCTGTATCAATTACATGAAGGATGTGGATAAATTCTGTAACAGCCTTGCAGAGCTCTACTCCAACATCAGTAAGGTGAGTTGACAAAGTCAAAAAGTCAAGTACATTGTACTATGTTTAATGTTGTTGCTCCTAGTCAGTAATACTGAGTTTCCTCTATGACATGGCCTGTGCACACAGATAGATTTCCAGCTTTTGTTTCAGCCACCTGAAACACTTGTGTTCACAGGCTACATGTCATGTATCCATTACACAGCCTGCAAGGAATCAGTAGTATCGAACTAAACAAATTAAAGACTTGGCAACTTTGAAGACCATCAGATGATTCCTTGTGAGCTGTTTCTCAGAGGGAGCCCAGCATTGATTGGTCATTTCTTTACAATCATATAATATTTGCATGTATAGTACTGTATTCAATAATTTTCACATTGTAAAACAGAGATGTGATGACAAAAGGGAAATTGTCAGCAAGGAGAAAAAATTGTTAAATTAATAAAATATTGTTTATAAGAATTTTTTCATATTAATTTGCAGCCATTGCTTGACATAGTGATCTACGTTCAGAAACTAACAGGAGCAATTGGTATACAGGTACTGCACATTGCAAACAATGCTTAAAAATATTCATAGCTTAATTGAATACAAGAAAAGTTACAGCTTGGAGGTTTTTCCAAGGAAGGTTTGTACGTGTAATTCAGCTGTAAACATGTAGGTATGGGAAAATCACTAGCATGGTTAAAAATCTCCAGACATATTATAATGCATACATACTTCTACAAAATGAATTGTGTATGGCGCAGCATCTTTCTCCTCTTGAATCACAACTTGATTGTATCAGTATGGAAACACCCCACTTGAGGTCAAAACCGTTACTAGAAGCTACCGAATCAGAGTGCAGCTTGTGTTTTATGAACATGCAATTACGTAGTTAATCAACGTAAATTACTTAATTTATATGACTTGAGTGACTGTTGTTTTGAAACTCATGCAAGTGGACACCCTTGGGAGAAGTAAAGTTGTTCACTTTCTTGAGGTGTTCACTTTATGGGATTTTAAAACTGTCAGTATTGTTTGTACATGTATGTTGGTTGAGACCAGGAGAAAGCGTCTGCTTACCAAGATGTACATAATTATGCATAGTGTTTCTCCCTTAAGGAAGGCTCTGTTAGCAGAGGTTTGACTGTACTGTTCTCAAACCATTAACAATTCATTAAGTTTAAACGAGGGAAATCATGACCGTCAAAGCGTTTGGATATCTGATATCTTAATTAGTGTAGGTTTTTACGATTTTATTTCACCGTTCCTCGTTATTTTTAGTTTCGATTCAGAAGATATACTGTCAAACACTCGCACAGTGTTTGACCACATTTCCAAACACCTCGAGGCTCGTCAAAAATTAACTCCGCTGCGCGTCGTATTTTCAACTGTCTTCTCGGTGTTTGGGAATGTGGCCAAACACGGTCTTTTGTGTTTAATATATTACTTATTTAACAATAACTTGTATTACAATGAGTACCTCTATTATTCTAGGGACCAACCATCATGCTGGCATACTTGGCTGTTTCAGGACTGTTACTAACAAGGTATGTGTATTCTTTGTATAAATTGTATACATCTGTAGCTGTCATCCATTACATTTAATTTATAACCTGTCAGAAATTTTGAAATCGCAATGAGGTAGATGCATGTAGGGCATTCTTTCTTTTTAAGGAACAAAATCCCCTTGCTACCCTATTCTCAGAAATCTTGGAAATATGTGGTATACCCTTCGAAGGCTGCGATTGGAGATTGCCTATACTCCCTTGTCAAAGTGGAAAAGCTTGAAATATCTTTGGATGCATTATTGATATTATTAAGTGTATTTTAATGTTGATTGGTGTAGTTCATTCCAATGTGCAGTCGCTGTTTTTCTCTTCTCCAGTAGGTATCTATTATCGATCTATTGTACATTTATCTTAGTGAAGTGTAACACAGTCTGTCCGTATCCAGTTATGACTTCCCTTAATCTTGACTTTCCTGGATATTTTACAAACAGATTGAGACGACCAGTTGGAAGAATGACAGCAGAAGAGCAGCATCACGAGGGAGAGTTTAGATTTGTAAACTCTCGGCTCATAACTAACAGGTGCAGTATCAATTGTCTCTCAGATCAACCAACAGTACAAGTAAATGTCGTTGTTGTCTTAACGAAACCACCAAAACAATCAAAACCCATCACTATTACTGAGAGGTAACCGTAAACAGGCTAACCTGAGCATTGCTACGTATTCATGCATGCTAACCGGAGTTCTGAAGTCTCCTCGCAGCCTGCGCTCACTCCAGAATAGTGTTGTACATGTTTAGGCGCATAGGCTTTAGAGGGGTTTATCTTGTCGTTTCTTTTTAGTGAGGAAATTGCGTTCTACCAGGGAGGAAAAAGAGAGAAGTTTACCATTGAAAAGACGTTTCAACGATTGGTAAGGATAACTTAATGTAAGAATGCTTTTATCTCATAGAGTTTTTACACATGTTCTCGACGATCATAAAGACGAATTGTTCTCAACTCAGTGGTAATCATCACGTTAATTAAGTAATATATCAAACACAAAACACCGAAAAGAGAGTGCAGCGGAGCATTTTTTGACGAACTTCGAGGTGTCAAACACTGGTCAAACACGGTCTTCAGTGTTTGATATATCTTCTCAATCGAAACGAAACCTAAGAAGAAAATGGAGAATTAATCAGATATTCGAACAGAATTAATCAGATATTCAGACACTGTCACGGTCATGATTTCCTTTGTCTATTAAAGTTTTGCATGTTTTGTTCTGTAGTTTTAATTCTTCAAAAATTATCCACTGTTCGTCGTATTTTTAGTCACTTCAGACTTCCCAGTGCCTGTATATGAGATGAAACACAGTACACTCAATAAATCATTAAATTAAATTATTATTATTGTTTTGTAGGTTGATCATCTAAGGAACTTCATTCAGTTTCGATTTAGTATGGGAATCATCGACAATATTATAGCAAAATGTAAGTATATCGATGGCATAGCACTAAATGTGCTACTTACCTCAAATACAATAACAAGAGAAAACTCTTTCCGAAACACTCATGGCGTCGAACATTCATTCCAGAACGAGTAGCTTTTATTTACAGGTGTCTTAAATAACAATTTCTATTTTGTTTGGCGACTTATTATTGCCAGTTCATCCTCCTTAGGAACACCCATTGATGTCGCAACATTGGACGCGTTTTAAGTTGCGCTGCCCGTGTTTTTGATGTTGTGATCCCCTGCAATTTCGTAAAAAGTATATTTAACCGACGATAAGCAATATTACTCTAATATCCCCTTTGGGCGTTAGGCCCCGACAGCACCAATGCGTCTTTTAAAGTATCCGTTTTCGTCTCAACGAAAACGAAGCAAAAATATTTTCTTCAACACTAGCGTTTTCGGTTTGTTTTCACCTGTCCACACTAATGCGTTTTCAATCGAAAACGCGTACTTTTAGATACGCTTTCGCCTATCGTCCACGCTAAAATGACCGAAAACGCTGATGGAAACGACAGTATATGACCCTTTTTTTGGCACCGTTTTCAAAAACCTCCGTTCTCATCTATCCACGCTGGAAACCGAGCGTTTTCAAACGGCTCCACTTTTGAAACCGTTTTCGAAAGCCTCCGTTTCCATCAGCATTTTCGCTCGTTTTGGTGTGGACGATAGTTGAAAACCCATCAAAAAGTATGCTAGACTGCAAGCAGTGACTCTTTTCCTCAAAAATTCTGTTGGGAAGAACGCAAAACAAGTAAGCTTACGAGCGTGACTGTGAGCGTGACGTGCAAGCGGCGATGTCGTGAGCCACTAGGAGGACGCTTTCTTGTTTTGCGTTCTTCCCCACGGATTTTCGAGGAAAAGAGATACTGCTCGCAGTCAAAGAAAAGAGTATGCAATTTCAAACGAAAACGCATTAGTGTGGTCGGAGCCTTAGAAATTGGAGTCTGGAGTGACTTTTGAGTCACTGAATTGTGTGCATTAACTAAGACAGCTAGGAATATTATATGTTTAAAATTGCAGATGTAGCTACAGTTGTAGGCTTTATGGTTGTCAGTCGCCCTTTCCTTGGCGCAGGCAGCACGAGGCATGTGAACAGCACACACAGCGAGAGAATGGAGGTAAGCGGAACTTAGACACTTCACGGGTTGTGGTGTAACATTCTGCGGTGTGTATTGTTAAGGTGAACTACTCCAGCCTGGGGCATGCCAGGACGAAGAGCAACAAGTCGTATTTGTAAGTTATCAAACCCGGCGTGAATAGGCTGGGTGGTTTTAAAAACTTTGGCGTGTTTCTTAGTTACATGCCAAATGAATGTACATGTAAGTCTTTTTCATTTCATGCGTTTACTAATCTGCTCAATATTTATTTCCCATCTGCTCATTGCAGCTCCTAAGGGAAAATGACTTTGACTTTTATTGATTTTCAATTCGTTTGAGGCAAATGAATGTAACACTTCTTAGTTCCAAAAGAGGCAAAGGATAGCACTTCATAGAATAATTACCACATACCATGAGGTAGCTCGAAGGAGCCTTTGATTCTGTTTTACCTGACAATGAAAATTTAGCAGAGCGTTCTTTAATTTCGCCAGCGCGTCCAAAGCACTTTGTAAAAGCTGCTCTCAGTGCATTTTATCAATTAACTGACAAAGGCGTTTTCAGCTTTCCCGTTGCTTTGTTATCTATAATTAAATGATGGGCAGCTTTCCTCTCTTCTCACACTCGCTGACAAACATGTCTCCTCTATTTTCTTTGGAGATGAATATACGTCTATGCAAAGAAAATACACAACCGAACATCTGCTTTTATCCAAATGCAAACCCAAATGGGTCGATCCTCCGCAGAGTTAGGTGGCTCACTTGGATATTTTAAACACCCAACATCCCTAATTCAGTAAACAGCCAGCAAGCGCGTATAACGCTTTCGGAAGACCACGCTCGACCGCGGCAGCCGATCCCTTCGTTCACCCACTCACCGAGCTCGCGCACATCCACCTGTTTTAGAACAATTGTATTGAATCTAGTAATTGTATTCGAATTCACAAGCGTATTTCCCTCTTTGAAACGCTTTCGAACGTCAGATGGGTTGATTTTACTCAGTCGAGGGAGCCACACTACGATCTTCGATTCCCCAACATCCCCTATTTGAACAGCTTATGACTTCGGACACGGCTTACACCGTTTATATACCAAAACAAGAGTGATGCTACCTGTGCTTTAATAGGTGAAAGCATCCAAAAAAATGTTTTTCTTTTTTTGGGGGGTGGGGAGGGGGTGGAGGGGGGGAANTGTTGTGTTTGGATATAATTATTTTTTACTTGTATTTTTAGCATGTTCACATTTTACAAAATGAGCAACTTGGATAACAGGATTGCTAATGCAGATCAACTCCTTACTCAGGTCTGAATTAATTACATTGTATGTTGAAGCACGCTTTATACCTTATTACATGAAATTTTTGCAATACGTTTATTTCGTGATTTTGAGGTGTGCATATTTTGCGACACTTAAATTCCGCAATTTTGCGAAAATTTTGTATTTTGAATCACTTTAACTTCACATTTTTGAGTAACACACAATTTATTTCTTTGGCAATGTTATTTCAACATGTCCTTGAATTCTTCTTCTTCTTTTTTTTGTATACAGTGAAGGTACAAGTATGACTTTAATGTTTTAAAAATGTTGATTGACATTGAATAACTGATATGAGTTTTTCTGTATCAATTACATGAAGGATGTGGATAAATTCTGTAACAGCCTTGCAGAGCTCTACTCCAACATCAGTAAGGTGAGTTGACAAAGTCAAAAAGTCAAGTACATTGTACTATGTTTAATGTTGTTGCTCCTAGTCAGTAATACTGAGTTTCCTCTATGACATGGCCTGTGCACACAGATAGATTTCCAGCTTTTGTTTCAGCCACCTGAAACACTTGTGTTCACAGGCTACATGTCATGTATCCATTACACAGCCTGCAAGGAATCAGTAGTATCGAACTAAACAAATTAAAGACTTGGCAACTTTGAAGACCATCAGATGATTCCTTGTGAGCTGTTTCTCAGAGGGAGCCCAGCATTGATTGGTCATTTCTTTACAATCATATAATATTTGCATGTATAGTACTGTATTCAATAATTTTCACATTGTAAAACAGAGATGTGATGACAAAAGGGAAATTGTCAGCAAGGAGAAAAAATTGTTAAATTAATAAAATATTGTTTATAAGAATTTTTTCATATTAATTTGCAGCCATTGCTTGACATAGTGATCTACGTTCAGAAACTAACAGGAGCAATTGGTATACAGGTACTGCACATTGCAAACAATGCTTAAAAATATTCATAGCTTAATTGAATACAAGAAAAGTTACAGCTTGGAGGTTTTTCCAAGGAAGGTTTGTACGTGTAATTCAGCTGTAAACATGTAGGTATGGGAAAATCACTAGCATGGTTAAAAATCTCCAGACATATTATAATGCATACATACTTCTACAAAATGAATTGTGTATGGCGCAGCATCTTTCTCCTCTTGAATCACAACTTGATTGTATCAGTATGGAAACACCCCACTTGAGGTCAAAACCGTTACTAGAAGCTACCGAATCAGAGTGCAGCTTGTGTTTTATGAACATGCAATTACGTAGTTAATCAACGTAAATTACTTAATTTATATGACTTGAGTGACTGTTGTTTTGAAACTCATGCAAGTGGACACCCTTGGGAGAAGTAAAGTTGTTCACTTTCTTGAGGTGTTCACTTTATGGGATTTTAAAACTGTCAGTATTGTTTGTACATGTATGTTGGTTGAGACCAGGAGAAAGCGTCTGCTTACCAAGATGTACATAATTATGCATAGTGTTTCTCCCTTAAGGAAGGCTCTGTTAGCAGAGGTTTGACTGTACTGTTCTCAAACCATTAACAATTCATTAAGTTTAAACGAGGGAAATCATGACCGTCAAAGCGTTTGGATATCTGATATCTTAATTAGTGTAGGTTTTTACGATTTTATTTCACCGTTCCTCGTTATTTTTAGTTTCGATTCAGAAGATATACTGTCAAACACTCGCACAGTGTTTGACCACATTTCCAAACACCTCGAGGCTCGTCAAAAATTAACTCCGCTGCGCGTCGTATTTTCAACTGTCTTCTCGGTGTTTGGGAATGTGGCCAAACACGGTCTTTTGTGTTTAATATATTACTTATTTAACAATAACTTGTATTACAATGAGTACCTCTATTATTCTAGGGACCAACCATCATGCTGGCATACTTGGCTGTTTCAGGACTGTTACTAACAAGGTATGTGTATTCTTTGTATAAATTGTATACATCTGTAGCTGTCATCCATTACATTTAATTTATAACCTGTCAGAAATTTTGAAATCGCAATGAGGTAGATGCATGTAGGGCATTCTTTCTTTTTAAGGAACAAAATCCCCTTGCTACCCTATTCTCAGAAATCTTGGAAATATGTGGTATACCCTTCGAAGGCTGCGATTGGAGATTGCCTATACTCCCTTGTCAAAGTGGAAAAGCTTGAAATATCTTTGGATGCATTATTGATATTATTAAGTGTATTTTAATGTTGATTGGTGTAGTTCATTCCAATGTGCAGTCGCTGTTTTTCTCTTCTCCAGTAGGTATCTATTATCGATCTATTGTACATTTATCTTAGTGAAGTGTAACACAGTCTGTCCGTATCCAGTTATGACTTCCCTTAATCTTGACTTTCCTGGATATTTTACAAACAGATTGAGACGACCAGTTGGAAGAATGACAGCAGAAGAGCAGCATCACGAGGGAGAGTTTAGATTTGTAAACTCTCGGCTCATAACTAACAGGTGCAGTATCAATTGTCTCTCAGATCAACCAACAGTACAAGTAAATGTCGTTGTTGTCTTAACGAAACCACCAAAACAATCAAAACCCATCACTATTACTGAGAGGTAACCGTAAACAGGCTAACCTGAGCATTGCTACGTATTCATGCATGCTAACCGGAGTTCTGAAGTCTCCTCGCAGCCTGCGCTCACTCCAGAATAGTGTTGTACATGTTTAGGCGCATAGGCTTTAGAGGGGTTTATCTTGTCGTTTCTTTTTAGTGAGGAAATTGCGTTCTACCAGGGAGGAAAAAGAGAGAAGTTTACCATTGAAAAGACGTTTCAACGATTGGTAAGGATAACTTAATGTAAGAATGCTTTTATCTCATAGAGTTTTTACACATGTTCTCGACGATCATAAAGACGAATTGTTCTCAACTCAGTGGTAATCATCACGTTAATTAAGTAATATATCAAACACAAAACACCGAAAAGAGAGTGCAGCGGAGCATTTTTTGACGAACTTCGAGGTGTCAAACACTGGTCAAACACGGTCTTCAGTGTTTGATATATCTTCTCAATCGAAACGAAACCTAAGAAGAAAATGGAGAATTAATCAGATATTCGAACAGAATTAATCAGATATTCAGACACTGTCACGGTCATGATTTCCTTTGTCTATTAAAGTTTTGCATGTTTTGTTCTGTAGTTTTAATTCTTCAAAAATTATCCACTGTTCGTCGTATTTTTAGTCACTTCAGACTTCCCAGTGCCTGTATATGAGATGAAACACAGTACACTCAATAAATCATTAAATTAAATTATTATTATTGTTTTGTAGGTTGATCATCTAAGGAACTTCATTCAGTTTCGATTTAGTATGGGAATCATCGACAATATTATAGCAAAATGTAAGTATATCGATGGCATAGCACTAAATGTGCTACTTACCTCAAATACAATAACAAGAAAAAACTCTTTCCGAAACACTCATGGCGTCGAACATTCATTCCAGAACGAGTAGCTTTTATTTACAGGTGTCTTAAATAACAATTTCTATTTTGTTTGGCGACTTATTATTGCCAGTTCATCCTCCTTAGGAACACCCATTGATGTCGCAACATTGGACGCGTTTTAAGTTGCGCTGCCCGTGTTTTTGATGTTGTGATCCCCTGCAATTTCGTAAAAAGTATATTTAACCGACGATAAGCAATATTACTCTAATATCCCCTTTGGGCGTTAGGCCCCGACAGCACCAATGCGTCTTTTAAAGTATCCGTTTTCGTCTCAACGAAAACGAAGCAAAAATATTTTCTTCAACACTAGCGTTTTCGGTTTGTTTTCACCTGTCCACACTAATGCGTTTTCAATCGAAAACGCGTACTTTTAGATACGCTTTCGCCTATCGTCCACGCTAAAATGACCGAAAACGCTGATGGAAACGACAGTATATGACCCTTTTTTTGGCACCGTTTTCAAAAACCTCCGTTCTCATCTATCCACGCTGGAAACCGAGCGTTTTCAAACGGCTCCACTTTTGAAACCGTTTTCGAAAGCCTCCGTTTCCATCAGCATTTTCGCTCGTTTTGGTGTGGACGATAGTTGAAAACCCATCAAAAAGTATGCTAGACTGCAAGCAGTGACTCTTTTCCTCAAAAATTCTGTTGGGAAGAACGCAAAACAAGTAAGCTTACGAGCGTGACTGTGAGCGTGACGTGCAAGCGGCGATGTCGTGAGCCACTAGGAGGACGCTTTCTTGTTTTGCGTTCTTCCCCACGGATTTTCGAGGAAAAGAGATACTGCTCGCAGTCAAAGAAAAGAGTATGCAATTTCAAACGAAAACGCATTAGTGTGGTCGGAGCCTTAGAAATTGGAGTCTGGAGTGACTTTTGAGTCACTGAATTGTGTGCATTAACTAAGACAGCTAGGAATATTATATGTTTAAAATTGCAGATGTAGCTACAGTTGTAGGCTTTATGGTTGTCAGTCGCCCTTTCCTTGGCGCAGGCAGCACGAGGCATGTGAACAGCACACACAGCGAGAGAATGGAGGTAAGCGGAACTTAGACACTTCACGGGTTGTGGTGTAACATTCTGCGGTGTGTATTGTTAAGGTGAACTACTCCAGCCTGGGGCATGCCAGGACGAAGAGCAACAAGTCGTATTTGTAAGTTATCAAACCCGGCGTGAATAGGCTGGGTGGTTTTAAAAACTTTGGCGTGTTTCTTAGTTACATGCCAAATGAATGTACATGTAAGTCTTTTTCATTTCATGCGTTTACTAATCTGCTCAATATTTATTTCCCATCTGCTCATTGCAGCTCCTAAGGGAAAATGACTTTGACTTTTATTGATTTTCAATTCGTTTGAGGCAAATGAATGTAACACTTCTTAGTTCCAAAAGAGGCAAAGGATAGCACTTCATAGAATAATTACCACATACCATGAGGTAGCTCGAAGGAGCCTTTGATTCTGTTTTACCTGACAATGAAAATTTAGCAGAGCGTTCTTTAATTTCGCCAGCGCGTCCAAAGCACTTTGTAAAAGCTGCTCTCAGTGCATTTTATCAATTAACTGACAAAGGCGTTTTCAGCTTTCCCGTTGCTTTGTTATCTATAATTAAATGATGGGCAGCTTTCCTCTCTTCTCACACTCGCTGACAAACATGTCTCCTCTATTTTCTTTGGAGATGAATATACGTCTATGCAAAGAAAATACACAACCGAACATCTGCTTTTATCCAAATGCAAACCCAAATGGGTCGATCCTCCGCAGAGTTAGGTGGCTCACTTGGATATTTTAAACACCCAACATCCCTAATTCAGTAAACAGCCAGCAAGCGCGTATAACGCTTTCGGAAGACCACGCTCGACCGCGGCAGCCGATCCCTTCGTTCACCCACTCACCGAGCTCGCGCACATCCACCTGTTTTAGAACAATTGTATTGAATCTAGTAATTGTATTCGAATTCACAAGCGTATTTCCCTCTTTGAAACGCTTTCGAACGTCAGATGGGTTGATTTTACTCAGTCGAGGGAGCCACACTACGATCTTCGATTCCCCAACATCCCCTATTTGAACAGCTTATGACTTCGGACACGGCTTACACCGTTTATATACCAAAACAAGAGTGATGCTACCTGTGCTTTAATAGGTGAAAGCATCCAAAAAAATGTTTTTCTTTTTTTGGGGGGTGGGGAGGGGGTGGAGGGGGGGAACTAGACATTTTATTCATCACTCGTTCATTTTTTTGCTAAAACTATAATAACTTTATGGAAGAAAATGGCTGATTAAAAAAAGTCGTTTCATTCCTGACGCTGTTTACAAAAACCTTTCCACGCCATATTAACGTGAATGCAATGAAATATGAGCCATGCTAACGAGCAAGTCGCACAATATTTCGTTATAACAATGCTTAAATTTCTCGAAGAAATATTTTTATGTTTTCCATTCCAATAACTTTATCGCCGTTTTTCTACAACAACAGGTTATTTGTTTTCCTCACCTTTGGTCAAATAAAGCTAAAGACCTATGGGCGTCAAACACATCACCTTACACTATTAAAGACGGAAGACTTAGCTAGCTGTCTTAAAAGAAGGATGTTTACATCAGGAGCCTTTCTTTGTTATGTCAATAGTACGTTTTGAGACGTTAACAAAAATTGCTTGCCACGCTTACCTTGAACGATTTGACACGACGATTCAATTCTCTAAACATACAAAAGTTCAGTTTTTTTGATCAATAAAACGGAGCTTCACCACTTCAAACATGTACAAAAGCACGCTTCACCGATCAATTTCAATGCTATTGTAATAAACTCATTTTTCGCTGGCAGCTACAAAAATATGCACCTTCTTTGTAACACTAAGAATTTAAAAGCTCTAGATGTTCTAAGAAAGCAACGAAGAAACCTTAGTGTTTTGCCTCACGGAAGAATTGAGTCACAATATTTGTATAATAAACTGCCACCAGCATCCCTATCTTATTACAGCATCCCTATCTTAATCTATATTCGTTGTATGGGGAATATTTTGAGACTAAAGCTGACCAAAAGTTGTGGGAAAACCAGAATAAAGTGAAACTGAGGTGTTTACTGAAAAAAATCAAGTGTATCGTGCTTATCTTCTGTCACCAATTAGTATACATTGTATGCTAGCGACTTCGACACGTTAATAAAGTTCTTATCTTATCTTATCTTATCTTATCTTATCTTATCTTATCTTATCTTATCTTATCTTATCTTATCTTATCTTATCTTATCTTATGACTCAGTGCCCTCGGAAAGTATTCATTTTTGTTACAGAATTGCTCAATCATCTCAGCAAGATCTCTCTGCTTTCTGACTGTGTTTTGAAGGAAACATGCTCTAATCTTAATCTAAATAAATTTGAATTCTGTGTAATGTGGTCTATACAGAGAAAAATTGCAATTTATTGTTTTTATCTCTTTATTTACAGCTTCAATCAAGTTTTCATTCGAGACATTTTGCTTTAGTTTCAACAATAAAAGAATGTTACTGACGGTTACCATACTGCGGTCAAAAACTCGAAATACAATGGCAAAGCACTTGTCTGATTGTGTTCTTCACTTCTTGTCTGACTTCCTCTAGCTTCCAACAGTAAAGAATCGGATTTAATGACGAGTTTAACAAACCTAAGGTGACTGCATAACTCCAAGCGTTAACCATAGATGAAGATAGTCCATTATGAGCCCACAAAGCCGCCACTATACAATAGGGTAGATAACAAGCGACCAACGTCAGTTGCAGCCATATTGCACTGGACACTGCCTTTTTGTATCGCGCTATGTTCAGTTGATTTGTTTGGTTCAGTTGTTGAACATGGTCTTGTAACTGAGTTTGCTGATGACGGAGGGTGAAGAAAATCTTTGTGTAAGAGAAGATCGAGGTTACAAGACATAGTAAAATAAGTATAAAGCCATACCGTAAGGTTATGAGGGAATTTAAAAACCAGGTTGCTGAAGAGGCAGTGGACACAACCCAAAGGGAAACAACGATTACCCAGGTTCGCTTTAAAGTTACAACTTGTCTGTATCTCAGCCCCAACAACAGGGCGAGAAGTCTGTCCACGCTTATTGCAGTCAGTGTCCACATAGACGCGCTACCCAGTGTATATCCTGTTATGAAATGTGCCAGTAATGCGTAGCGACAAATATTCCAATGTTCATTCACTACAGATATCCAAAAGGTAATAATGACAGGCTCTGAAATAAGACCAACACAGAGATCAGTTGTCGCGAGACTACGAAGCAAGAGCTTGGATGGCGCATGTAGTGAGGACTCCTTGTGAAAAGCAATCAGGATCAGAACATTCCCAAGGGTTGCACTGATAAACAGAAAGGAGTTTAATACTGAAAGAAACATCAAGTGGCCACGTAGTCCAGTAGTTAAACCAGCGGAACATAACAGTTGTTCAACTGTTTTCTGCGGTCCATCATCAGTTAAGTTTGCTGTTCCCATATCGATAGTCACAGATGTAGTAAGTTAATTAAACGCTTGAAATAACGAGACAGAAATTAGTTAACGAACAGTGCCGAAATTTTTAGAGCAGTAAAGCGGCTTCTCAGTTAATATCTATTCTAACGAACGAATTTAAACACTTTTTATAACCCCTTCTTTTTTCCTCATACACGTCCAATAGATGAATATCGAATGATTGACAGGTTTAAAAGATGAACGCTATTTTTAACTCCTTATTATTACCCCAAGCACGTCCACATACATGCGAGCGTACGGACGGCAATCTTCATCTACTTCGAACACAAAGCTGTTAGCACGGAGTTCGCGTTGACTCTCGCAGCCTCTTCTACACCAGTGGAGGGAAGTGTTAAACCACACGTTGCGTAGGAGGCCAAGTTAAGGCTTCACCTTTTGTTATTTTATGTCTCTATTGTGTGAAGGGTTGTTTAAGAACCGTTCAATTGCATTTCTTATGGCCAGTAATGAGGAGCGACTGTATAATTCGCCATCCTTCGCCCGGGCTTCGGCGTAAAATCGCAGAAAAACCTGGTCCAACTCCATGTCACTCAGCTCGGAAAACGTTTATCCTGTCACTCCTCTGTCATTACACCAGTCTGAAAAAAAAATTACACTGAGCCTATTTTTATTCATATCGTTAAAGCGATAAAAATTGCATCCTCTAATCAATGTATTTATGAGTTGGGTACCGAA